ACCTATATACTGAAAACTACAAAGCATTATTAAAAGAGATTTTAAAAGAAACAAGGAAATGGAAAGCTATTCCATGTTCATGGATTGGAATAATCAACATAGTTACAATGCCATATTACCCAAAGCAATACAGACTTAATGCAATCCCCATCAAGATCCCAATGACAATTTTTAAAGAAAGAGGACAAAAAAATCAACAGATTTATACAGAACCACAAAATACCCTAATAAGCCAAAGCAATTCTGAGGAAAAAAATGAATGAAGCTGCAGGTGTCACACTACCTGACTTTACATTATACTACAGAGCTATGATAGTCAAAGCAGTATCGTATTGGCAGAAAAACAGACACACAAGTCAATGGAACAGAAGTAAGAGCCCACATTAAAGGAAAACACACACATCAATATGGGCAGTGAAATTTTGGCGAAGGAGCCAAAAACACAAGGAAAAAAAAATGATCTTCAATAAATGGTGCTAAGAAATTTAGAAAGCCAAATGAAAAGAATAAAACTGGATTATAGTTTGTCCCATGTACAAAAAAAATATTCAAAGTGGATCAAATACCTAAATATAAGGTCTGAAACATTAAAATACACAGAAGAAAACATAGGTACTAAATTTATAGACTTTGGTCATAGAGGACATTTTATGAACTTGATCCCAAAGGTAAGGAAATACAGGCCAAAATAAATGAATGGATCTATATCAAACTACAAAGCTTCTGCACAGCAAAGAAACTGACAGCTAAACAGAAGCAGCTGACAGAATGGGAAATGATATTTGCAAACAATAGCTCCGACAAAGGTTTACTATCAAAATATATAAAGAACTCATAAAACTCCAAATTAAACAAACAGTCCAATTAAAAAATGGTCAGAGTATCCCAAATAAGCTTCCATTTTTATATATTTAAGGCCCATCACCTATGCCGAGGTGCGGGGGGGTGGGGGGGTGGTCCCATATAGGTGCTGCTCCGAAGTGGGACATGCACAGGTGGTCTGGACCATCCGCTTGAGGCTTGCACCAATACCTTCTGGTCAGACACTTTCACAGAGACAGCGCCAAGATCTGAGCTGAGCCGGAGAACTTACACACAGACAAACAGATTAGATGCAAGCACACAGGGGGTTTATTTACCAGTTCCTGCTGGGTCTCAGGTACTGGGAAGGATCCACCCAGCGATGCTCGCTGACACACACACAGGGGTAGACGGTGACGTTGGCTGCTGGCTCCTTTGTAGATCCACAGTTAATTGGGCAGAGTTTCGTGCTGGGAACCCAGACGTGAGCACACACAGTTCCTCACACTCTGGCGACAGGAGAGCTGTGTGCTGCTGGGTCGACCAGACTATCTGATTATATACCCCTCTGTAGACATGGTCTTCGTTGGTGTGTGTGTTATCAGCGGAAGCCATGTGTGGATACACTCGGGGTCTGCTAATCTATGGGTGTGTACAGGCTTTGGGCGTTCCCATCAGATAGGTTGTTTATCAGTACTAAGCAGAGCTATGAGGGTGCGTTCCTGGGTCCCACACAGCATTCCTATATCTAACATTACTATAACAGTCCACACGGGGTTACATGGTTCAAGTTGTACATTCTACGGTCCTAACATTAAGTACCATAAAGATTACTGTAACACAGAGGATCTGAACAGATACCTCTCCCAAAAAGACATACAAATGGCCAATAGCTATATGAAAAGATTTTCAACCTCACTAGTCATTAAGGAAATGCAAATCAGACCTACAATGAGATACCCCTTGACACCTGTTAGAATGGCTACTATTAACAAGACAAGTCATAACTAGTTTTGGAATGTTTGTGAAAATAAGGGAGCCCACCTTCACTGCTGGTGGGAATGTAGACTGCTACAACCACTCTGGAAAACAGTCTGGCAGGTCCTCAAAAATTCAACAATAGAGTTAGCATATGATATAGCAATCCCCATCCTGGGTATCTGCACAGAAATCTTGGAAACATGTATTAGCAAAGAGATATGTACCCCATGTTCATTGCAACATTATTCACAGTGGCTAATACATGGAGACAACCAGTGTCCTTTGATAGAGAGTTGGATAAAAAACATATGGTACACATACACAATGGAATACTACTCAGCCATAGGAAAAGATGAAATACTGCCATTTGTGACAACATGGATGGACCTTGAGAATATTATGCTAATGAAATAAGTCAGGCAGAAAAAGCTAAGCATCATATTATCTCACTGATATCTATACTAATAAAAGGGTAATATGCTAATTAGACCAGGAGACATTCTGGCAGACCTTCCAGATGACCTTCTGTACAAAGCCATGGTGGCGGGGCCAAGGCAGAGGTGGTTAGGGGCAATCAGGCCAGGAGGAGAGGGCAGTTGAGGGTCATCAGGTAGCAGGGGGGGCAGTTGGAGCAAGTAAACCTGAAGGGGGCAAGCATGCTGGCAGTGGCACAGTCGGGGGCGAGCAGGCTGGCATGTAGAGTGGTTAGAGGTGATCAGGGAGGCAGGCAGGGGAGCAGTTAGGAACCAGTGGTCCCAGATTGCAAGAGGAATGTCTGACTGCTAGTTTAGGCCATATCAGGCCTAAACCAACAGTCACACTGTGGGATCAGGCCTAATCCAGCAGTCGGACATCCCTTGAGGGGTCCCATATTAGAGAGTGTGCAGGCCAGACTGAGGGACACTCCCCCCACCCCTGCACAAATTTCATGCACTGGGCCACTAGTTGAGATATAAAACTGCAACTCATAGTCACAGACAGCAGTGTGGGGTTGCCAGAGGGAAGGAGTTGATGTGAGATGATTTGACTTTGTGGGGTGGATGATTTGACTTTGTGCAATACTATACAGACCTTATATCATAGAAATGTAGACCTGAAACATATGTAATCCTATTAACCAATGTCACCTCAATAGATTTCATAATAAAAAGGTAGGAAACAAGGAAAAACACAACCACAGTTCATAATTGACTTGTATTTTAAAGTTGAACGTGGTGGCTAACAGCAGGATAGTACTCCTGATCCAACAACTTAAAAATGACTAAATTGAAAAAGAATCATATATTTAAAGAAGTAAAAAATCTAAGGAAGAAATATTGACTTGATGAACTAGATGAGCTGATTTCCTGGCAATATCACACCCCCATCCCCTCTGATTAGGGCAAGGGGCAGGGCCCCAGCGGAGGGATGACCATGGGAACAGGACAGCCACAGAGCAGTGGACAGCGGAATGTGGAGCAATGAGTTAGAAACTAGAGGCTACCAATCTCAGGGTTCTAGTTTCCCAAGGGGCATTTACTAACTGTCGGGCAGGGAAGGGGGCTAGCAGGGGAGCGCAGGGAGGAGAGGGGGACAGAGTAAACTTTCTAACGTTTTCAGGTGCTTGGGGCAAAATATTCCTGGAAAGAAGAGGCCATCAACAATACATATTTTCCAGCTTTGAAACATGTTTTCCAACATAGCAGTATTTTAAACATGTAAGAAAGTGAGTATTTGCACTTTTATGACTGTGGCAGTATCAGATTGAGTAGATAGGATTAAATACCAAACAAAGCTATTCATATTCCCAGCAACAACATTCTGAATTTACAATAAAAATGTTAAAGTCTATTGTAATTTTAAAAATGTCCCTGTTATTAACATGCTCGCTCCACATAATCATGATCAGTAAGAATGGAAAGTGTGAAATAGCATATGAGTGGAAGAGTTGACATGCTCTGAGAACGGGATGACAGCCAAAGGAGAACTTGGAGGAGAGACCATGCATTCAGCTTTGCATGTGCCGAATTTGAGCTACAAGTAAGATGTCCATGAGGAGACCTGCTGGGGGTAGTTGATATACCTTTCAAAAGCTCGGCAGCAAAGCCTAAAGCATTCACATAGGTGATTACTACAGTCAGGAGACTGGATAACATTAACAACGTAAATCACACGGTGAGAGAAGAAAAGAGCAGGCTTGCAGGCCCAGGTCAGAGGACGTGAGGTGTGGGGAGGAGAGTAAGGACTGGGTTGAAGAGAAAGACCCTGTGATTGGCCCATGGAGACCCAGAGAGGCTGAAAAGTGCACTCTTTCTGGGAAATCTAACAAGACAAGAGTGGCATAAACTGAATGACCGTGTATGTCAATCCTGTGGAAGTTCAAGGCTGAAAAATGTGGGAGTGGAACCTGAAGGAATTGGCTGAGGCACTTTCAGCAGACTTGGGGGTGGGAGTGAGAATGGATATTAGGTAAGTGAATAGGCTGAGGGCACCACATTTCCAAAGACACACTGGCTTAAAGGGAAGAAAGTTAGGGCAGAATCTAGTAGAGAATAAAGGAAGAAATTTAGCTTGTGCCTCTTCTCAATTATTTGTTAATTGCGTTCTGTTTTAAAATGGGAGATAACAACACATATGCTTATGTAGAAAGGAGAGCAGAGCGTGAGAGATAGAAGTTACAGGAAAGGTGCCACCTGCAGCACTTCTGGCTGGGGAAGAACAGAGGTGATATCTGAGCCCAGGACTGAAGACAGCACTGAGCACACTTGGTGGAGAAGACCTGCGAGGCAGAACACCACCATCAAATCTGTGGGTAACAGGCTCACTCAGGCCGCAAATATGATGACTAATCTGCAAACAGAATGTTATATATCGATTATATCCCAATTTATATAGGTGATTACCTTTGGAGAGTGCTTGCCTCTGGTGGCTAAGTCCCTAAAACCTGGGAGCAACATCCTGAGAGCAGCGGGTCTGGAGAAGAGGGACATCTCTCAGTGTCTGGGATGATGAGAGAGTGTGAGGAACCGTGGAAATATTTGTGCAAGTAAATTATGGAAATTGTTCCAGTTGGGATTTAGCCTCTCTTTATGGTCTGGGTTTGTCACCATTTGGCTTTTTTGAGAGGGGAGCTCACATATTGCCATAACCCATGAAGTTTGTGTCTAATTATAACAACCACATACTGAGCCCAGAGTCGCCTGTTATCTGTTCAGTTATTAACAAAGGCCAGCTCTTTGCTGAGGTCACATTGAGCTGCAAGTGGCTTCAGGGGCGTCTTTAGGAATCAGCAACATGGCAGAAGACATCAAGACCAAAGTCAAGAACTACCGGACTGCTCCTTTTGACAGCCGCTTCCCCAACCAGAACCAGACCAGGAACTGTTGGCAGAACTACCTGGACTTCCACCGCTGTGAGAAGGCAATGACTGCTAAAGGGGGTGATGTCTCTGTGTGTGAATGGTACCGACGTGTGTACAAGTCCCTGTGCCTCATATCCTGGGTTTCAGCCTGGGATGACCACCGGGCAGAAGGCACGTTTCCTGGGAAGATCTGAACTGGGCATCCTCCATCCTTTTCCCAGGGCGTGAAGGGGGGCCTGGGTACATCCCACCCTAGAATCCTGAATCATGGCTTAACTAATAATAAATACTTGTTGGAAAAAAAAAAAGGCCATAGCCAATGTTATACACATCAATGCCAAGATCACCTCCCAACATTGTGTCGGCTCTCCCCAAATATATGCTCTTCAATCTTTCTGAAAGTCCCTTGGACCTGTGTATTTATTGGTTATACTCTTTTCAAGTCTCCTTTTCTCTAATTGTACTTGTGTGCCATTTTCATCTCTGACATATACTAATATTTCATCTATATTTTTATAGACCCTAAAGGATTTTCTCAGTTTTCAACACTAAAACATGTAAAAAGTGTCTGCAACAAATTGCTCAGCCAATATTTAAAACTATATCTCTGGCTTCTGAACCGATGGACTAAATAACAAAGGTTAACCAATTTATAACCATATATCTTTACTACGTTATTGGTTGTGGAAAATTTATTTCTATGATAATTCTTTTCCAGGTAATAAAAACATTCACATGAACTTTTTTCACATTATTTAAAGCAATATGTTCAAGAGCAACAATATATCAACAAGGGAGGGAAAAGTGAGAGAACAACAGGAGACAGGCTCCTCATTATCCTCAGCAGAGAATTCACAGAGAGTAAATGGCGATAAAAATTAGCAAACTTTGGGAAATGAAGATGTATGGGTTATTATGAATATCTTTGAAAATGTAGGTGACAATAGAGTGGCATAAACAATAAGTATAAGGGAACAAGAAATTCATGTGTTCAACTCCTCATTTGTTCAAAATGCATTTACCAGGTTTTTCCCTGTCTCACATTGTGTGAACAGTATAAACTCACACATTTCAAACAAGCTTGCTATCAAGGCAGTGCTCCCTGAGAATTACAAGAGACAATTCGTGGCTTCCTGATTGGATGTGGATTTAATTCTACTGTTGGAAATAGGTTTTATAAGAAACCTATGTACCTGGAGAACTCAGGGTTGGCATCTCCTGCCCCACTGAGAGGTGTGAGGAATCAACTGCAGGTCTGGCACCAACAGGTGGGACCACGGAGTCCACACTGAAGGCAACACAAACACAAACTCATTGTCTCAAAAGAAAACATAACTCAGCAGGTGCCAACAACTGCAATTCAAGGAAAGCTGCACAGAGAATTGATGCATCTGATGAGGCTCAGGCTCAAATTCAGGAATCTGACACCATTGTCCTTTCCAGGCAAGGTCAGGATGTACAGTGAAGGAACTCCAGAAATGCCTTTCTCATTACTGACCCTTTTTCAGCCTCCTTAAAGGTTCATGGCAGGGAATCCAACCCCCACTCCTTCAGTTAGTAATGGCCAACGCTCCCACCTGAACAGCTTCAATTATAGCCGGTTTACTTGGTAGAAATGCCTCCTCCTTTTAACGGTTGTTACTTTTTGGCTTATTTTATTTATTATTTATATTTTTTATATTAGTCATGGAGCTGGCAATTTGGCCAGTAGAAATACTTATTAGTAATTTTTAGGCTCATGCGCTCAGAGTAGTGGAAAACAGCGCCTGGGCATCCTGCTGTCTATGCAGCTGAAGGCCATAATTTCCTTCAAGTCCCTGAAATTCCCCACAGCAGGAAAGAAGGTTGGGAGGAACTTGCCCTTCTGATTTCTTTTTGCATGCAAGATCCTCCAATTCTGTTCTTAATCTTGCCCATCAATGCAAATTAACAGCCTCCAAACAGTACAGTTCTGCATTTTTCACCTGCAGAGCATCTGTACCCATGTTTTCTTTTTAAAAAATATATTTTATTGATTTTTTACAGAGAAGAAGGGAGAGGGATAGAGAGTGAGAAACATTGATGAGAGAGAAACATCGATCAGCTGCCTCCTGCAAACCTCCTACTGGAGATGTGCCCGCAACCAAGGTACATGCCCTTGACCATGGAATCGAGCCTGGGACCCTTCAGTCTGCAGGCTGATGCTCTATCCACTGAGCCAAACCGGTTAGGGCCCCATGTTTTCTTAAATCTCGGGGATGGGAAGAGGGCGTGGATTTGGTAACTTTTCTCCCTAAGTCATCCAATTTCCAACCTGAGAATGAGGCTCCTGTCAGGTATTCTCAGACATGAAACAAACTTCTTTAAGACCAGAGAAATGCATGATGCTGGCATCTGTGTAGGGGACCGAGAGCCATGAGGGTCAGCCGGGGCCTCAATCAGACATCAAATCCATGGCATCAGGAGATCGATCAGGAGATCTCTGGTAAATCCAGGTTATGTCCCTAGGATTTAGTTCATCTCCTGTGTCAGAGGTAAAACTGAGTGCAAATGACCTCACAGCACATCAGTGTGTGTGTCCCCTGTGCTCTCACCTAGAGCCACCATTAAAGTTCCCGTTCGGCTTTGTGGGCACTCAGTGCACAGCGTGTCCAGGAGAAAGCCTGCTCTCCAAGACTGTAAGTATCTGCACTAGGTTTTGCACGGACAGACTGCAATCATGGGGCTGGAGATGTAAAAGCAAACCTCAGCTCCCCTCAGTGCTCTGGGTATATTTTCCATAAACTATAGGTCCAATCGGTCTGGATGATAAAACACTGTGGAGGTAGCATGTACACACATCCCTTACTCTGAACAAGATAAATACATAACTCTGGGAAGGTGGTATGAGAATGTTTCACTTAAATCTCTACTATATACTATCATCTTGAAAATGAAAGGAAAAGAAATAAAAGCAGGCAGAAGGGCAGCCATTCTTCAGAGATGTGTGTTTCCATATCAGCAGATAAATAATATGCAGATTGAACACCTGGCTTTATGGTCATGAGAGGTTCACCATCACATGGACAAAGAGGAACAAAGTGCAGTCTAGAGTCCCCTTTCCTGTGCTTCTCTCCACCCTGCTGGTCAGTGAGCAGGAAAGAAGACAACCAGGTCTGACTGAAGCTTCCAGGTGACAAGCTTCAGTGTTTCAGAGGAGAAGATATATGTCAGATTTAGCCTGAGAAACTGATATTTTTTATTAGTGGTTCACCCAGGTAAGTTTAAGATGAAATTTTTATCATGTGATAAAGAGCAGTGCCGGGGGGTCTGCGTGTGTGTGTGTGTGTGTGTGTGTGTGTGTGTGTGTGTGTGTTTATGAAGAGTCTGGAAGGGTCAATAGAAATAACAAAGAATCTAGGGAAATGTCTTAAATTTAGCATCTTTTATGCTCATAATTTGCCTATTTTTGCTCTAATTAATTTCTCTCTCTAGAAAACCTTAAGAAATCTTTTGAAAAGCTGTAATCCTCTTGTTAGGTCACCAAAGGAGGAAAGCAGGAGGCCAGAATGGTGAGGGATTACAAATTAATTCGATCATCCACACATCAGGTGGGTGAGCCTGGATGGTTCCAGCACCCAGCGACAGGAGTCAGCAGATTTTAAAGGGTTCTTGGTGGGCGTTTTCTGGGAGGAGACTTCTTTATGCAGACCCTGAGGGGAGATAATGGAATGTGCTCACAACAAGTGAAATGTGGTGAACGGGAAATAACCTGAAAAGTCAGTTCCCAGGGGAAAGGTATCAATTCAATTGCTCCATCAGAGCCAACATTCCAGCCTTTTTGTTTTATGAACAGGGACCAAGGTCATATCTTCTGTACCAACTTCCTGCTGCGTCAGGACAGCAAGATCATAGGGGAATGGACTTTGATAGTAGTGGGCTGCTCAAGGGGGGCAACAGCATGATTTCCCCAAGAGACTGGTTGGTGCCATCTCAAAGGCATTTCTGTTGAGTGAGTTGGGAGGTAAACGCTGGTCCTGAGGCTGCCACAGCATCACTGGTCGTTTTTGCTGCTTTTCTGAGCCTGGAGCTGAAATACAACTGAGACCTAGATGTAGAATAGGGGTCTCAGTTGCCTGAGTAGTGATATGAAAGGGGAGAATATGTTACTCTAGGGGTGAGGTTCTTGTTTGCTCAGTTTTGCCCCTTGCTGGGCACCCACAGGGTTTTGCAGGTCCTGAAGCAGGATTTGACAATAGGTAGAGCAGTGGCTAAGCTGCCTATGGCAGTCCCACCCCTACTGTGATGCCCAGGGTCATTAGGAGAGGGATTATCTGGAGGTTACCCTGGGGATGAGGTCCTTGTTTCCCAGTTTTGACCCTTGAAGTTCTTACGTTTAAATCTGAAGTTGTTACATTAAAGACTTTTACTTTCTTTCAAACTGAGCAATCATCTTGGTTGCTGCCCAGAAAACAGGTAGGAGAGAGAAATAGAGACATGCTTGTCAATATTGCAATGCATACATCTCAAGTAAAGGTAACTTTTTTTTTAGTTATGGTGTCTCATTAATGGTGAGATTTAATGCTTGAATAATAACTTTTAGTTTATTCTGTAAACAGTAGTGGAAGAGATTCCACTTAAATTCCTTCTTTTTAAGCTTAAATTTACTTCTAAACAGCATTCTTTTTGGCTACTGCTCATTTGCATATGTATGCAAATTTTACTTTGGACTTTACTAGAATCAGTTGCTCATAAAATATTGGCTTCTGCCCTAACCGGTTTGGCTCAGTGGATAGAGCATCGGCTTGTGGACTTGAGGGTCCCAGGGTCAATTCCAGTCAAAGGCATGTACCTTGGTTGTGGGCACATCCCCAGTGGGGAGTGTGCAGGAGCCAGCTGACCGATGTTTCTCTCATCGATGTTTCTAACTCTCTATCCCTCTCCCTTCCTCTCTGTAAAAAATCAATAAAATATATTTTAAAAACTATTGGCTTACCATAGGAATGAGTTTATATGAGATCTTGATTATATTGTGAAAAGCTAACTTACCAAATAATTGAAGTATGCTCCATTATTGAAAAGCAAAGTAAGCAAACTTATACACGTGACCCATGAAGGACAGATGCCACCCCCTCCCCACAAGCCAATCTGAAGAGCAGGCTGGGAGGGGGTCTGAGGCATTATGTGTGCCCCTGTTTAAAATTCTGCTGCTGAATATTCTGGTTTAGCTTAAGAAGTACTCAGCAACCTTGTCCTGCTGAGCTTAGGGGCTGAAACCTCAGGCTTTCTTGCTCAGAGTAAAATGGCCCTTTTACAATTCTTGTAAACAGTTAACTTTAGAACTAATTTT